TCTGGCCCTTCATACATATACGTATGTACACACACACACACACACACACACACACACACACGTCTTTAAGCAAATGATGCTCATGTAGGCAAGGACAGATAGTTGCTGGTGTTTTAAAAAGAGAGTCGATAACGTGGGGAGAAATACCAGATATAGGTGATGGGGGGAGGAAGGCAGGAAGGCAGCAAACCACCTTGCTACGTATGTACCTATGCAACAATCCTGCATGATCCGCACATGTACCCCAGAACCTAAAGTACAATTTAAAAAATAAATAAATAAAAATAAAAAGAGAGTTGAAAAAGTAAAGTTGACTGATGCTCATCTTTGCCTTAAAATCAGTGGGTGACCAATTCTTCCTTACGGTATCTAAGTCCATTGGCTATAAAGCAAACTATTTTATACTAGTGATTAAACTCAGACTTCACTGTTATCTCCTTTGGTTCTCCCTAGTACTTCTCTATCAAATTAGCACGGGACTTGGCACACAATAGATGTTTAGGATCTGTTGTCGGAGATTGAGTCCTCACCTCTCAGCAAGTTGCAGCCAAGTCCTTTCCAGTGAACCAAATGCCCATCAGCAGCTATTCCTTGGCATTTTAAGTTTCTATCAGATAGGCTGCATTGCTTAAAGCAACAAAACCCAACTCTGACTAACTTACTAAAGGGGTACACAGAAGGACACTGGGGTGTCCACTAAGTGGAAAAGAGACTGGAGAACCAGGCTTGAAACGAGGGCAGGATCCGGGAAAGAACCCAGGGGGCTACTCCAGAGATGATGTGATTTTTACACCATCAGGAGTAGTATCTCCCCACGCCACACAAAAACCCGTCAAAAGTCAGTCTCCTGTTTATCTCCCAATGGCTCGTTCAATGAATCAACTCATAATGAAACTGGCAATAGTTAAAACTGCATGTGGTATAACTGAGTACCGGGATTGTCTAAAAATTGATAAAAGAATCCAGGTCTAAAAACATTTAGACCTCTAAAATTTAACTTAGAGAACTGGACAAGGTAGAACTAAATGCCACAAGAGAAATTGCTATAGCAGAAGCTATAGTCATAATATATGACATGGACAAAAAAAAAAAAAAAGATTAATGACTCAAGTCTTTGTAGTGAATTTAAATGAAAACCCTGATGAAGATAAAATTTAACAGTATTGTATTAAAAAAAAACTCATCATGTAATCAAATTGGCTCAGTAGACTTGTTTCAGAAAATATTTCCTCAAAGAAAATTCTTTCATGTTAGCCTAAGTCTGATGAAAATATTTATATTCAAAATGTCACTGGGTTCAACCCCTCCTGCATTCAATGGAAATGCAAGTGGCTAGAATCCGACTGTACTCCATTCCTGCATGTTCCTCCTTCCAAGCCCAACCCAAGACAAGAGACTTGAGACCAATAAATGCAATGATATGAGCTAAAAAGTAACGAAGTGGATGGGGAAGAAGATCCCAAATGCGGTGATGGCTCAGGGGCTGTGGAGGGGAAGGCTGAGCAGGCCACTTGCTGAGGAGCTCCGTGGAGGTCCTCTGAATAGTCTGGCTTCTCCATAACAAGGCAAGAATAAGGCTCATCCTTTCACAGAGAAAAAAAGAATGGGAGGAAATAGTTGCCATGCTCTAATTTGGCTGCAAGAATGAGATACATGCTAAGGCAAATGCCACTGGAATTTTACTACAGCAAATAAATTACGTCACCTGGAGTGAAACCCGGGGCCTCTCCCTTTGCAACTTAAGACACATTAAGGATGTTCTCCCAAGCTCTTTAACAAAGGAAGTCAAGGATGTTTGAGGAACTAATCTCAGTGGCTCTAGCATTAAGAATTTATCTTTTTTCTTTGAACACAGCATAATAAATAAAACTGTTATTTTATTTATCTATACAGCACTTCATAGTTTTTCAAAGTATTTTTTTACATGATCTCATTTGCCTTCAATGACAATTTTGTGAAATGAGCAGATATTGTTAACCCCATTTTCCCACAGGGACCCTGAGGCCAGGGAGTTCATGGCTTGGCCACATTCACACCGCTATTGAGAGTAGGGTTGAGACTTCAAGTGGGGCCTTCACCACTGTGTCCAGCTCTTATTTGGATGATAAAATAGACATAATGAGGACAGATAGACACTTTCATTCCAGAGACTCTTATGAGTCTATTAGTCATCTTTAAATATATTAGTTATCTAGAACCAATGTAATGAGACTGAACATATCTGGAGTAGTCAACAGCCAGTCTTTACCTTTAAAAATCTATCAAATTAGCATGTATCTATTCTGGTGCCAGCCATTTTAAAGGTCATCTTGAACTAGGGGCTTTTCAGAAGCGTGGTGCTCCCTGGTAGATATTCCTGATAGAGATCTATTTATTGAGGAGCTGGTGAACGTGGGCTTCCAAGCCAGAAGCTGGCATTAAACAGGAGAAAGGGTAAAGAGACCAAGTTCTGGGGCTCAGGCAAGTAAAAACTCACAGTAGTCACCACAAAGGAGAATCACTCAGGAGAAACTCTCTCTTCCTGCTTTAACTTTTTTTTTTTTTTTTGAGACAGAGTTGCCCAATCTGGAGTAAAATGGCATGATCTCTGCTCATTGCAGCCTCTATCTCCCAGGTTCAAGTGATTCTCGCGCCTCAGCTTCCTGAGTAGCTGGGGATATAGGCACAAGCCACCATGCCTGGCTAGTTTTTGTATTTTTAGTAGAGATGGGATTTCACCATGTTGGCCAGGCTGGTCTCGAACGCCTGACTTCAAGAGATCCGCCTGCTTCAGCCTCCCAAAGTGTTAGGATTACAGACGTTAAGCCACTACACCTGGCCATTCTGTTTTTATAGCAGGGTCACATCTCACCCGCAGCTTGGTTCTCAAGTTAAAAGGTGAAATTATCAGACTGGGTGTGGTGGCTCGTGCCTGTAATCCCAGAAAATTGGGAGGCCAAGTGGGAGGATTGCTTGAGGCCAGGAGTTCGAGACTATACTGAGTGACACAGAAAGACCTCACCTACGCAAAAAAAAAAAAATTTTTTTAATTAACTGTGTATAGTGGCACATGCCTGTGGTCCCAGCTACTTCAGAAGCTAAGGTAGGAGGATCACTTGAGCCCAGGAGGTCGAGGCTGCAGTGAGTTATGATCGCCACTGCACTCCAGCATGGGTGACAGACTGTGACTCTGTCCAACAAAAAAAAAGGTCAAACTAAACTATCAGCTATAATCAAGTTATGCCCTGAGCATCCCTTAGACGGACACACTGTCTCTGAGCAAGGGGAGCCAAAGCAGTCCTCCTCCAGTGCTGGGAAGATGGCTGGGGTGAGGGTAAGCACAGATGGCACTGGTGGCTTGAAGTAAAGGCCATGTTGTGGAACAAAGGAAATGGAAAACAAAAACACGTCTTTAAATGTGAACATACAGCAAGATGTTCCCTTTTGCAGGAGAGACACACATGCCCTGGTACTACCAGAGGTGATGCTGAGGCTTTGAATGCAGAGGTGGCAGAAGGGTCAGCACAAATAAGGTGGTGTATGTACTATGTGTGTGTATGTGTGGGGTCTCTCTCTTAACGTGTAGACTTGAATTTGCAAAAGTTAAATGTAATCTGTAACTCCATTATATATTAGAAAGCACATCAAGGTAATAGCTAACTATATTGTAACGTTAAAAAAAAAGAAAGAAATGCATATTTATCCCCTGCCGAGGGAACTTCCAGCACCGAGGAGTGTTTTTGCCAGATTCTGTTAGGCATGGACAGCCACCTCCGGTATTTGCCTATAACTCACTCTAGAGGTTTATTTAAAAGGTCATCCAGCAGAATGAATGGCTGTCTTCTGCAGAGCTCGTGACTATAACATGTCAGTACCATAGGTCTTTCCCTAGAACTTGAGGAAAAGAACTGCTCACATAGCATGTGAGTGGAAGCCTCACAAGTCCACAGGCCCTGACTGTTCCGAACACAGGCTGCTCAGCTCTGCAAACCCAGCTGTGTCCCTTTATACTCTGCCTGCAGACTCCCCTCTCTTTCTGCAAAACCCAAGTCCAAAGGGACTCTTCAGCGACAGAGGCAAAACGCAGAGGAGTCACATCATCCTGGGAAGCCCTTCCAAGAACAAAATGTTCTCCATCAGGTCTACAGAGTCCTGCCACATGGTCCCCCAAGACAACTGCACACTCAGGCGGCTAGTGATGTCCTTTGCTGGCTGTATGCTGATACTCTGGCCAGATTCAAGTCAGGGGCTAAGATGGATGTTTCCTCAGTTTCCAGGGAGAACACTCATCTCCACAGGCCCTCCACTCTGCTTACTTGAATACACACATTCAAGGGAAGAAAAGCAAATTTTTCATCTCAGAAAAAAATATTTTGTCCACTGAGAAAAAAAGATGACCTTTACTCTGACAAACAGATTTGTTTCGAAAGTGACAGCACGGACTGTGCTTACCCAACCATGAGTGTGCTGCCGGCACCTGAGGCGAACCAAAGATGTTATCAGGACTAAGCTGCCTCTACCTATATTTTCTTTTGGCTCTTACATATTGGTTTAATAAAATTCAACAAATACAAGTGCTGTGAGGCATACAGAGACCAGAGCAGGACGCAGTGCCCCCTCGATAGCTTTCATAATCTGAAGGTAGGATGCATGATGAATACACAGGCAGCTACCGTCACAGACAGGAGGAGTGGGCAATGGATCAGAGGGACAGAAGCGGATGATACTATGGGGAGACAATCACAAGGCTGAGAAGTACCAGTCTCACTCAGTGCCATGACCTCACAGAGTAGGGACATTTCTGAGCACCAAATCTCTGCGCTAGGAGTTGGGTGAGTCATGTCTCTGGTTTATTTATTTACTTATTTATTTTTAGAAACAAGGTCTTACTCTGTCACCCAGGCTGGAGTCAGTAGTACAACTACGGCTCATCGACCTCCCAGGCTCAAGCAATCCTCCTATCTCAGCCTCCTGAGTAGCTGGGACCACCAGCACATGCCAGCATGCCCAGTTAATTTTTTTTTTTTTCTGTAGAGATAGGGTCTTGCTATGCTGCCAGGGTTGGTCTTGAACTCCTGGGCTCAAGCAGTCACCCATCTCAGCCTCCCAGAGTGCTGGGATTATAGAAGTGAGTCGTCCTGCCTGGAACTTCTTCTACCTTCATCTTCCCAATTCTGAGCAATGGTATCATCCCCATTTTAAAGATGAGGACAAAAAAAAAAAAAAAGCTAGGATTATAGGACAGGTCTCTGATTCAGTCCAAAGCTTTCCTTACTTTATCACACTCAAGCCTCATCAACTCCCCAACCAGAAGTTAAAATAACAGCTTTGTACCTATTTTCTCCTCTCTGATCAACTGTCAACATAGTCTATGTTAAATAATGTTTCTTCAAATTGATAACTGAATTTGTTGGAGCTTCTCTACTTCGGTCTTCACATGTCTTTGACAAAAAACCACGGCTTTCATTCTACATGTTTTTCACAACTATAACTGACTTCTTGTTACTGGAGTTTTTTTCTGCAGAAGATATATCTAGGGGCTAATTAATTTGAATATTCACATTTGATCATTTCTAAGATGAAGCTAGAATATTAATAAAATCATACTGAATATCTCCCCAAAGATAATGAGATCCAGGAGAGTGATGACAGCAAGAGCAAGAGAGAATGGAAGTGCTTCTAGAAAAGTGACAGGTGTCTGATTTGGGGACACATTTTTACCCTACTTTCATGGGTAAGGACAGGTATCAGTGGTGAGGGAAACTCTGGGAGTGAGGCTTTGTGTCAGCTCCATGAGTCTGAAAACTGAGCTCTGGGCCTCCTGTGTGTGCATATGTGCAGGCATGTGTGTGCACACAGGGAAGGCAGGACAGCCAGGAAGGGCCAGAGTTTAGGAGAACATTTTGTCAGTTCCTATCCCAGATCCTGAGCTGCCAGAGCCTCCGCGCTTCACAGGCCTGGAAGCCAGGGCTGCTGCTGCTGCCACCACAGGCACCTCTGGTTTCCTTTCTGGCCTCTCTGTTTAACCCCCAGCCTGGCTGACCTGAAGCCAGCAGATGGACAGCAGGTCTTTCGTGAGCCCACCCCACGGGGCCTCACCCTTCTCCACTAGGACACCACCCCCACTGGAAGCCCCTTCTTTTCAGGAAGGCCAGATGTGGTGTAGACCCTGCATGCAATCTCACCAGTCCTGCTGGGAGGCAAGCCTGAAGCCGGACACCGGCTTCCTCATTAGCTTCAGGAACAAACACCTTGGACCTTTTATCTCAAAATGGCGACGGCATATTCAGCTTCCCAAACACCCATTAATAGGCTCATCAGAAATCCGCTTTGAACACAGCATTTTCCTCTCACTGGAGGCAAATTCTTCTCCACAGCTGTCACACATCACATTTTCACTGTTGTTGCTAAATGCTCTATTCCTGAATTGCAGGATTTGCAGAGGAAAATTCCAATGCAGAGACTGATTCTGCCTGAAATGACCAAAAGTGGCCTGAGGACACAAAAGAGCAATCCTCTTCCGTTCCTGTAACTGGTTTCCAAATACAGGACGGAGGCCACTGGGCCAAGCTGGCACATCTATGACCTTTTGTGCATATCATGCAAGCTATAAAACATAAATGTTAGGAGAACAGGCCCATAAGTTACAATACAACCACTTAAAAAGAAACTGTACTTTTTTGCTCAAAGGAAAAATAAATGTGCCTTTCTAAAGTTTAAAGAAAACCAGTTAACACCTCTCAGAGCTGTATCCACATGTTAAATGCAGCTGATCCCACTATCTTCCTGTTCCACAAACAGCATGCAGGACTGCCACTCCCTACACAGACTAAAGCACAGTCCTCTCTCCTCAGGTCGCATTTCAGCCCGGTTTTGACACCATGCTTTAAGTGGGGGGGTAGTTTACTAAGAAGCTCCTGGGTGCCATCTGACAAATGTCATCATTAGAGAACTAATCCTGCAAACAGCCAAATGTTAGTGACCCAACTTTAGGAGAAGGCATCACCGTTCCCAGACCTGAGCTGCCAAAGTGCTAAGTGCAAAGCTCCCAGACTCACTCCACGCTGACCAAACAGGATGCACGCTGACGCTCAGCACACAGAACGCCCGTGCCTTGTCCCCATCTGCCTGGTCACCTCTCTCTGTCTGGAGGACACACAAATAGATGCCAACGGTCTGCTCTTTCCCCAACCCAGTATTGCCTTTTGGCTACTTCTCAGCCTAAGGCTACCTCAAAATCTGTGCCAGGGTTATGGGGGAGGGAAAGTCACAGCTGGAAAATCACATTATATTTGTCACTATTCCTAGTGGGGGAAAAGTCAAATGTCTAAATGTGAAGCCTCTGGATTATCTACACGGAATGCTCTTTTAAGAACACGCTAATTGAACAGGAGCTGTGCTGTCTGGAGCGAGAGCAGAGAGAGTGAGGACGCTGCACCTGGCTTCCGCTCTCACAGCCATTGCAGTACACTGAGCTCCACAGAGACAGCACCGGGGCAAGTGAGGGCCAGATGGGCACTGGGTGACTCTGCCTCACTGAGGAGAAAGAACATGGGCAAGGGAGACCTTAAGAAGCCAAGAGGGAAAATGTCATTATATGCATTTTTTTGTGCAAACTTGTCGGGAGGAGCATAAGAAGCAATACCCAGATGCTTCAGTCAATGCCTCAAAGTTTTCTAAGAAGAGATCAGAGAGGTGGAAGACCACGTCTGCTAAAGAGAAAGGAAAATGTGAAGATATGGGAAAGGCGGAGAAGGCCCGTTATGAAAGAGAAATGAAAACCTATACCTTTCCTTTTTTTTTTGAGACGGAGTTTCTCTCTTGTTACCCAGGCTGGAGTGCAATGGCGTGATCTCGGCTCACCGCAACCTCCGCCTCCCTGGTTCAGGCAATTCTCCTGCCTCAGCCTCCTTAGTAGCTGGGATTACAGGCATATGCCACCATGCCCAGCTAATTTTTTGTATTTTTTTAGTAGAGACGGGGTTTCACCATGTTGACCAGGATGGTCTCGATCTCTTGACCTCGTGATCCACCCGCCTCGGCCTCCCAAAGTGCTGGGATTACAGGCTTGAGCCACCGCGCCCGGCCAAAAACCTATACCTTTCCTAAAGAGGAGACAGAAAAAGAAGTTCAAGGATCCCAATGCACCCAAGAGGGCTCCTTCGGCCTTCTTCCTGATATCGCCCAAAAATCAAAGGAGAACATCCTGGCCTGTCCACTGGTGATGTAACACTGCCGCAGATGACAAGCAGCCTTATGAAAAGAAAAGGCTGTGAGCTGAAGGAAAAATATGAAAAGAATATTGCTGCATATTGAGCTAAAGGAAAGCCTGCTGCAGCAAAAAAGGGAGTTTTCAAGGCTGAAAAATGCAAGAAAAAGAAGGAAGAGGAGGAAGATGAGGATGAAGATGAGGAGGGAGGAGGAAGATAAGATGATGATGATGAATAAGTTGGTTCTAGTGTAGCTTTTTTTCTTGTCTATAAAGCATTTAACCCCCTTGTACATAACTCACTCCTTTTAAAGGAAAAAATTGAAATGTAAGGCTGTATAAGTTGTTTTTAAATGGTACAGGGTCTTTTTTGTATAGTTAACACACTACCGAATGTGTCTTCAGATATCCCTGTCCTGATGGTATTTTCAATAGCCACTAACCTTGCCTAGTACAGTATAGGCATTGTAAATTGGCATGGAAATTTAAAGCAGGTTCTTGTTGGTGCACGGCACAAATTAATTATCTATGGGGATGGTAGTTTTTCATCTTCAGTTGTCTCCAATGCAGCTTATACAAAATAATTGTTTTTCTCTTAACTGAATACCACTCTGTAATTGCAAAAAAAAAAAAAAAAAGCTGCAGCTGTTTTGCTGACATTCGAAATGCTTCTAAGTAAATACAACTTTTTATTAAAAATAAAGAACACACTGATCAAGAGATGACTGTAAGAATTAAAATGCTGACTTTTGACATCAGCATTTGTACCACATCTTGCCTTTCTTTGATGTGCAGAAAACACCACACAAAATGGCAAGCAATTATGTTAGAAGAAAATGGGTTCTAAAAATATTTAATAAAAATTATGTTTGTCAGTAATTACACAGATCATTACTAATAAGCCATACTGAAAACCTGACTCCATTCTTGCTCCCAGGGAATTCACAATCATGAAAAGGAGGTAAGAAACTTTTATAATGCTCTTTTGGGCTTAAAAGACTTGAATAAATGAACTTGCACTGGAAAGCTCAGCACCACAAACATGTCAATTTTCCCTAAATTACCTATAAACTTAACAGATACACAATAAAAATAATAAGATGTTTATATTTGGAATTAAACAAGCATTCTAAAGTTCATTTGGAAAACTGAACCAGCTATAATAGCCAAGAAAAGTATGAAAACAAGTAATACTGGGGTATGAGCACCGCGCCACTGCCCACAGCAAAACACGGTACAAAGCTGTAGTCTGCTGATGGGACGTGTTCAGGATCATTAGCAGAACACAAAAGACTGGACATATGCCTAAATATATCCAGGAAATTTAGTTGGTGAAAAAGGTGGCATTTGAATAATGGGATAAAGATAGATTGCTTAATAAATAGTGTTGGACAAAGGGTAGCCACCTTGAAAATAATTATATTGGAGCCACACCTCACACCAGGATAAGTTCTGGAAGGATCAAACATTTCAAAATAAAAATGAAATCATTCACATGGTAGAAGAAATTCTAGGTTTTTAAAAATAATCTTGTAGTGAATAAGACCTTTCTAAGGAAACCAGAAATCCCAGAAGCTGCAAAAGAAACAACAGAAAAATTTAATTACGCAAACATTTTAAAAAATTATGCATGGCGGCCGGGTGCAGTGGCTCATGCCTATAATCCCAGCACTTTGGGAGGCCGAGGCGGGTGGATCACGAGGTCAAGAGATCGAGACCATCCTGATCAACAAGGTGAAACCCCGTCTCTACTAAAAATACAAAAATTAGCTGGGCATGATGGTGTGTGCCTGTAATCCCAGCTACTCGGGAGGCTGAGGCAGGAGAATTGCTTGAACCCAGGAGGCGGAGGTTGCGGTGAGCCGAGATCGCACCATTGCACTCCAGTCTGGGCAACAACAGCGAAACTCCGTCTCAAAAAAAAAAAAAAAAAAAATTATGCAAGGCAAATATCACTATGGGCAAAGTCAAAAGACAAATGACAAACCAAGAACAAATATTTGCAATTCATATCACAAAGGGCTAATTTCCCTAGTACATAAAGAGCACTCTCAAATGATTAGGAAAAAGACCAGTGACCATCAGAAAAACAGTCAGAGGCTACCAAAAGGCAGTGAACAGAAAAGGAAATAAAAAGAGTTCTAAAATATAAAAAGATATACAGTCTCTTTAATCAAAGAAAGACTAAAACCACAGTAAGAAAACATTTTTCACCTGTCAGATTGGCAAATATCAAAAAGTGTAATAACTCCCATGGGGAGAGGCTTGAGGGCAACAGCTAACAAAATTTCCCATGAACATCCCCAGTGACCCAGCAATTCTACTTCTAGGAGTTTATCCTACACTGATATGTGCGCATCACATCGTGACGAAAATACAAAAACATTCAGTGCAACATTGTGAAAGCAAAAGATTACAAATAAAGGAAACCTCCATCTAGGAGACTGGGTAAACAAACTATGTTTGTTTATGGAATCCTAAGCAGCCAAGACATAAATGGAGGAAGCTCTTTCACAACTCCCATGGACAAATCTCTGAGTGATATTTCACAAAGAAAAGATGGAAGGATAAATAAGAGCCCACTGACAGGGTAACACGGAAGGAGGGTACAAGGTCACAGGTTCTACTGGCTGATGAAACAACTACTGATGAAACAAGCTAGGCTTCTTGAGCAGAGTGAGCCTTGAGCAGAAACGTAAGAGGAAAGAAATGATGCAGCTGCCCTAGAGCTTTCCATCAGAGGAATACAGTTACAAAAGCTGACAGAAGCCACTGTTGATGGCTGCAGGTTAGCCCTGTAGTAATGGCAGCCCTCCGCTATGGCATGTGAGTATAGGAAAACATTTTCTCAAATGGTCAACAACTCCATCTTTGAGAAAAGCCAGCTTAGGCACCAGACCTTAATCTTGTCCACACAGTGAGAGAGTGCCACAAAATCATGTAGATAAGCATGTTCTAGAAAGTTCTACTAAAGCAAAGCCCACCTCTCTTTACATATAAAGGACAAATGCAAAGGACATTGCTGGTGTCACTGCTTATACTTATTATCACGAATAAACAACATAACAGCTTTCAAAGCTATGAAGGATGAAATGCATATTCAGAGTCCTCTTAATTTCGTAACAGTTTGAAATAGCTTAAGAAATCAGAAGTTTAAAAACCACCCACATCCTCACAAGCCTTACAAAAATATTCTCATTTTGGTTTCATCTGTATCTATCCGAAAACAGAGTATTTACATAGTTGTAGCAGTGATGCTCAGGCAGAGATATATAATTGACTTCTGCTTTTTTCACTTAACCCCTATTTTTATAGATAATTAGCACACTAAATTCTGAATGTCTGCATAAAAATCTATCCTGCTTATTAGCTATAGTTAAGGGAGGGAGCAAACATTTATTTAGCCCTTTCTATGGGCAAGCTACATCTTTCAATTTATCCCTTATGGCAATTCTTATTATTAGGACCCCCTTTACAGACAAGAAACTGAGTATCCAACAGCCTACTGCACACCCAACCCTGTATTTGAATTCTGTGTTTGTCTGACCTGACAGCTCACTTTCTTTCCCCTGCATTAAATTGCTGCTGCCTCCATTGTTGGATGCTATTCCCAATTTTTACTAGAATAAACAATGACAGCAAAATATCTTTACATATTTTGTTTTTATCTTTCTTGATTTTTTTTCATTTTTTTCAGCTTCTGTTTAAAAATTCCAACAGGCTGCCACGTCTGTCTCATGACTCCTGCCCCTGAGAGATGACTATTTTTAACTCCTTTAGTTTTCCCTATCACCCCACACTTGCCTCTGCTTCTCAATGCCCTGCTTATGCCCGTTCTTTGATTTCAGTTTTCAACAGAACTTGTTGAACTTCCTACTCTGGAAGGTGCTAGCTCTCTTACATCTCCCCTAAGACATACATATTCTCCTCCCCCATTCTTTTCAACACTGTTCTACCAACACTTTCGGTGAATTTTCAGTGTTTATAATATTATAATTACAGAGATATTAGCCACAAAGAAGTCATATGTTGTATTCATTTTTGTGAAATTTTTTATTTTCTCTCAAGTTATCACTTTTATCAGTTCCTCATTAGCTTAGTTTTCTATGTGCCAATCATCCATTTGTCTCCAAACTCCAGGGGACCTGTGAGTATCTCAATAGTCAGAAACCAGTTTTGCTTTCTCCTGGACACAGCACTGAGGAGGCCCTGTGCCTGCTCCCCTCTGGAAGGGCTTCCCATCCTACCCCTTCACCTCTCTGCTGAGTCCCAGATCCTAAGGCCACACCAGATGCTATCAGACAACAGAGAAGAAAACCACAAATGTCCAGGAAGCATTCATCAGAGAGCGGGTGATTATGTTCTCTCAAATAAAGAGGCCGTGTAGAGGTATGAAGGGATTCCAGGGAGAAGTCATTGTGAGTATAAGACATAGGCAAGAGAGAACACGCAACATGAGAAAATGTGGAGAGATCTGATGTGTCTAGAACACAAGGAATATGGGGAAGAAGGGGTGAGGGCTGATACTGGACCTTGCCCTACAAGGCAGCGAGGAGCCACTGTGGTTTAAAGCAGGGGCATGGCATTATCAATTTGTGCTTTAGGAAGATAATTTGGTGGCCTGTAAGATCAATTAGAAAGGGTAGAGAATGGAGGTAAAGCTATTGCATTCTTCCAAGTGAAAGCTGATAATGTCCTGAGGTAAGACAAAGGCATTGAACGATGAGAAGAGATGGACTGAAGTACAAAAGGAAGGAGGTCCAAGTGACACAGGCTGCTGCCTGTGGCCTTGATTATGCTCTCCTCCTCTGGACATAGGTAAGTGTGTGCTGCTTCTGAAGTTAGGCATGGGCATGAACCTTGCTTTAAGTCAAGGGTGTCCAATCTTTTGGCTTCCCTGGGCCACACTGGAAGAATTGTCTTGGGCCACGGGTAAAATACACTAACACTAATGACAGCTGATGGGCTAAACAAAAAAGGAAATCACAAAAAGAACACATGATTTTTTTTTTTTTTTTTAATTGAGACGGAGTTTCGCTCTTGTTACCCAGGCTGGAGTGCAATGGCGCGATCTCGGCTCACCGCAACCTCCGCCTCCTGGGTTCAGGCAATTCTCCTGCCTCAGCCTCCTGAGTAGCTGGGATTACAGGCACGTGCCACCATGCCCAGCTAATTTTTTGTATTTTTAGTAGAGACGGGGTTTCACCATGTTGACCAGGATGGTCTCGATCTCTTGACCTCGTGATCCACCCGCCTTGGCCTCCCAAAGTGCTGGGATTACAAGCTTGAGCCACCACGCCCGGCCGAACTCATGATATTTTAAGAAAGTTTACAGATTTGTGTGGGCCACACTCAAAGCTGTCCTGGGCCACATGGAGCCTGTGGGCTATGGGCTGGAGAAGCTTGCAAGCTTGTCCAACCTGCCTTATTTTGTTGTTATGGTTCTGTTTCTTTTGTTTTATATTTTTAGCAGCCTGAAGCCATGATTTTTAGTTTCTGTCTCTAGTGATAAGTGAAAGAGAGGGATGAGGAAGGGGCTTTATTGTCCAGAACCTTAAAGAACAGAAACTAAGAACCCATGACTGTATTCTCTCCCTTGGATGCCCAAACCAATGAAATGGGAAAGGAAATGCCCAAATGCCATTTCCAGTAGCAGCCTTTAAGAGTCAGTGTGTGAGGTGTGTCATTGCTCTTCCTGGTTTGGTGGTGATCACGGAAACACGTGTTGAGATGGCACCTCCATCAGCTGGGGTCCTGGTGGGATGATAATCAGCAGAGCCCTCCTGCCCATTGAAATAAACATGTAGCATGAGTTTGTAGTTTTAAGATGTGCAGGTTTAGAGGTAATTAGTTACCATAGTATCAACTAGTCTACTTTGACTAATACAACATCCAATTTAATATAATTTTGACAATACTGCCATATTTTCCTCTGAGTATCAAACAATATTTTATATTTTAAAGCTTCACTGTTACCAAGTCTTAACATTATGTGGTACTTATTACATGTATTTCCTTTTGTGGAATTTATCTAGGCACATCTTTACCCACTTACCCACTGAAGTCCTACTGACATTCAGATGTGTTTGTGTGACCTTTGTGTACATTTTGTCTTTTGCTATTTGTACAACTGATCTAGCTAGTAATATTAAAATAGCTGCAATAATAGCAGCTGTATTTACTGAACTCTTATACATGCCAAATATCCTATAAATCATCTTACATGCTCTGTTCTTTTTTTTTTTTTTGAGACGGAGTTTCACTCTTGTTACCCAGGCTGGAGTGCAATGGCACGATCTCGGCTCACTGCAACCTCCGCCTCCCGGGTTCAGGCAATTCTCCTGCCTCAGCCTCCTGAGTAGCTGGGATTACAGGCACGCACCACCATGCCCAGCTAATGTTTTGTATTTTTAGTAGAGACGGGGTTTCACCATGTTGACCAGGATGGTCTCGATCTCTTGACCTCGTGATCCACCCGCCTCGGCCTCCCAAAGTGCTGGGATTACAGGCTTGAGCCACCGCGCCCGGCGCTCTGTTCTTTTTTTAAATCAGCATGCTGAACCTATGAAGTAAGTGCTATTATACCCATCTTACAAATGAGGAAATAGAAGCTCGGCAAGGTGAAGCTATTGGCCAGCAGAGGGCAGGGCTGGCAGCTGAGCCCAGGTGGGTCTCACTGCAGACCGGGGCTCTGGATCTCCAGCGGGGGCAATGGCTCATTAACTTCACCCTCTCACTTGGGCCTCTGGATTTACCCTCTCAATCTTAGGGGGAAAACCTTCATTCAATTTGGCTTTTTCCTCCAGTTTCTATTTTTTCTCCTTCCTTCCCTGGTGTTTGTTTCCTCACTCACTTCTTTGGTTGCTACTGTGCTGACCTGTTTATTCACCGCACTCCTGAAAACATATTCTTAAAAATCCCTGGTCCTTTCTGGCCAAAGGCTTTGGTTAGCACTCATCCTTCCTGACACCTTCTTCAATGTTTTCCTTGTCTGGCTGTCATAACATTCGAGGCTCCTGCTTCTCCCTCACCTTTCTTACTGCCTGTCCCTGGCTCTTCCTCCCATCCTAGTCATGGCCTGCCTCAGCCATCAGTCCTCAGTGTGTCTCTCTGCCCACCCCCACAAACTCCCTTATCTGCAGCTGATCTGGAATCTGCACATCTGGTCTCAAGCTCTCACCTAAGTTCTAATGCCACAGCTGTACGTACGTGTCCATGTGCACATCCTGTGGACAAGCCCCAAAATAAACAGCTTTCCCTGAGAAAGCAGCTTCCCCATTTGACTTCTCTATTTCTGTCAATGACTCTATTCTCTCAACCACTCAGTAACCTCAGCATAATCTGTGATTCAGCCGTTTCCTCTGATGCCCAAGGCCATTCCATTTTCCACTGATACCACTGAGTCTACCTCAGAACACCTCTGGAATTTGTCCCATCCTTCCCTTTCCTTCCTACCACCTACCACCAGTGTTCACAGGATCAAGCCCAAACTCTTCCTCTCCAGGATTTTGAGATTCCTCATGATCTGATCTCCTCTTCCTCTGCCCATTGACCCTAGGGCTCTCTGATACAATCAGACAGCTCTCAGCTCACCAGATCATGGCATAGGGACCTTGCAAGGAGATGGCCAGGAAGCAAGTGTAGAGATCAGACCAGAGATGGGACCCAAAGTCCATTAGCAAACAAAATCAAAGGGCACTGTTAGTAAAGGGCAGACTGGGTGGCAGGGCCAAACACGATGCAAGCAGCACCAAGGTCACTTTTGGGAATTACAAGAGAGATAATCAAAGTCCAGCCAAATGAAGATCCATGGAACTGGGAGATAAGAACAGAGCGTCTGTGGTCAGGGCAAAGCAGTGACAATGTGATTATGTGCCAATGACAGCAAGGCCTGCCACCTTCCTATCTTGCTGCCTGGGTGGAAGGCCCATAGGACAAAAGGACAAAGGTGAATGGGTGAAAGTGCTGGCTTGGGCAGCAAAGCCATTTTTCTGCCATGGGTGCTTGTTTAAATAACCGATTTTACTGGTTTATGTTCACACCAACATCTGTGCCTTGTCTCCTACTGTCCCATCTATCCAAAGCCAACTAATCTTTCAGGATTATGCAAGACCTCATCATCCAAGCCACCACAGCTATATCTCCTCTTTCTCTGAACTCCTTTATCACTTACCTGAGTTACTCTGTCAATCACATGTTCCTACCAAAAGACTCTACTAAAGTTAGTGTGTACTGATTCTATGAGAAGCAGCGCCCACAGGGAAGACAGAGAATTTTTAGACAGTCTCTGTCCTTAAGCCTCTAGAATACAGTTGAAGCATGACGAGAGATACACATGTGGAAAGTTATTGTTTCCACCCCTGTCCTTCGGTAAGAGCCAATGATACAGAGACAGGTAAAAGTCAGGGGATGCTAAAAGAGCTACGATTCGAGAAGGCCTGAGGATTCCGTAGAGAAGATAGAAATGTGAGACAAAGTACTATGAGTGATATAGGAGGGGCTGAGTATGGTATACAGATGGTGAACAGACTGGAAGAGCCGGTTACTAAGTATTACTACTTGACTAATTTTCTATGTATACACATTCACTGAGAAGAATCTTCCTTTATTCAAATCCCAAGGAAGGGAAAGTCCATACTATTATGGGTTGGCAGGCTTCAACACTTTAAAAATCATTTGTGGAGTTTCTCGCTTTACATTAATAAAAGCACTCCTGGAGTTTCTGGGTATAATAAAAGTAGATCTGATTCCATGCAAGTCCTGTAAAGCAAACTGTTCAAGCTTTTGTGATCTGGCTGTAAACACCAGTTCAGAGTTTTGCCAGTGGGAGGATTTGGTGCTACATATCACAGGAAAGTCAGGTTGGTCATGGCAATGGCATTAGTACTCAGCGGAAGGGTGGAAAAACATATAACCTGCTGTTTCTCACAAATCTCTCCCTTCCTGGGAGGCCACAGATGGTCTGGATCAACCACTGACCTCCAGGCGGGGTTCCCAAATGTTTCAGATTACAGACTCTTATAATGGCTACCTCAGAAGTTAAGCTGTCTGGCTTGATGCCATGCACCCACGCTGACCCAGAGCCCTCACTCTATGATTAGAAACTGATGCCAGGCAGCCTTCGGGTGGTTGACAAGCTGCCACAATGGCTGACTCATTTGCATGGCTCACCGTGATACTACACTGCAGGCAGCTAGCTCCAGCATATGGAGGCCTCTGAGGAGCTCCCAGCCCTTGGTAGTTGGTAGAGGGTACTTCTCAGCCTGAACACCAACAGTCAGGGGGTAGCAACAGCACTGGCTTCTCATTCCCAACCAATCATGCATAAAATCAAGTCTACAAGGACTACTCATACTACACTCTGTATGAGTGACAGCTTTCAAGATTTTCATGAAGGGGAAGATTTCATTATAAACTCAGGAAAATACTTTCCCTGAGTAAACATTACACCATCTAATAAATTCTGACCCTAAAGCTCAGGCTCCCAAGGAGACTCCATTTGCAGGGAAGTATTCTTGATGCTGCTGAAGAAGACTGGGCTTCTAAAGCCAGTCACTTCACTCACTGCTGCTTCAGACAAAGAAAAGTATAAACAGTAGTCAGGTCTTAACTCTCCACGTCGCCGGCTGACAACACTGGCACTGAGAGTTTAGGAAGAATTCTTATTTACCCTCCAGAATATACTTTCCAAGTCAGTTTACTGTCTTAATTATATTTTACCAACAAAGCGTATACTATTTTGTAGTACAAAGCGTGCTATCATAGTGAAGGAGGGCATGCTGAGAAGCAGGCTGAGAAAAAGAAGATTTGAGATCAAAATTGGCAAACTCTGCATTCACAGGGTCAGTAAAACATGAGAGGCTGATAAAAGTTGGCTACACTCTCTAAGAAACAAGGCCCATTTCCTGCTCCTGGAGATTGGAGCAATTTTCAGTCAACCACACATTGAGAAGGAGTATAAAAGTAGATCTGATTCCATGAAAGTCCTGTAAAGTGAATTAGGTTTAAGTTAAAAGTTAAGGATGAATGGTGGACCCAGGTGGATTCTGAAGTCAAGTCTGGGAAGGACTGACACGGAGGGGTGACTCCAAACAGGAACTTACATGTGGAGCCAAGGCCCACTCGCCATTCACATGTGCCGGATTTGGCACCATGTGATGGGATCAGTTGTAGTACATACTTCCTTTGCTTTTTTGGAGACATAGTGGGCCCTGAAGAATCAACTCGGTATGATGAATAGTGCAGTATAAGGGTCATACATTTTTGGACACTGGAATTGATTGTTTTAAAGAATGTACAGCATACGAGAGATGAGCCTTTTTCCATCTGAACTAAATCAAGGGAGTCTTGACTGTTTCGGATTCTGAAACTTTTTTTTTTTTTTTTTTTAGATCTTTCAGCCTTCAGCAATTCCTATAAGAAGCCATAAAGTCTCTAAGAAGAAGCTACAATCTGTATCTAGGTTAGAGAAGGTGGATGAATTCTGTAGCAGGCTCAGATTTGATTATCTTGATTTGGTACAAGAGAACTCAAAGATGGCAGCACTTTTCTTCCCAGTGTGGCTGGCCCCTTGCATAAATGACCTGCTAGAGCAGACACAAGGCAGGCAGGCAGCATCCAAGATAATGAGTAGTCGAGAGGGTGAACAACTCAACTCTGTTTCCCCTGGAATTCCCTGATATTAGCACTGACAGTCCCATGCTCCGGTCCTGAGCAAATTGGAATGGTTTGGTCAGCCAAGTAATAAAGGACAGTGTCCCAGGGTCAGCAGTTTAACCTTCTTACTTTGGCAGTTTTGGTTTGGGCTATTTCACCAGACACATGAGAATTTTAAGATGAAATTGCCTAAAAGTCTGACTTATTGAGGCTAGCCCTTAATACTCAGCCTCAATCAAGATGATTTTGAGTCTTTCATTTTTCAGGAATTTTCTAACAATATAAGTTTGCAGGTGAATGTGCTCTGAAGGTCTGGTGGCTACAGAATAAGCATATCAGAACACTAGAGTTCTGCCAATCAATTGTTAATAGTTTACCAGAAATATCCATAGAAATATTTGCACAACTCTTAAAACAGATAAAATCAGGTCAATGGAATTAAGACTCTTGGCAATTAGGAGTTTATCCTGTGAAAAGGACAAAGCTTTGGTGTTCAGCCAAGAAGGAAAGGATCTAAATCTGATGTGGAATGTCTGTGAGCAAGAGGGAATTAAGATAAATTTAAGTCCAAGATAATGAAATTCTTTTCAGCTTTAACTTGCTATAAATAAGTAAGCTGTGCCGGCTCCAGAATTTTTACCTAGGAGGGGGCTAGGGTGGCAATCTGACTGACAGGGAGTGTGTGAATTGCGTTTGTCTGATGCTTTAAGATTGAGGAAACACCAACTGTCCATCTCAAAGCTCCTAACCCCAGCCTCTGTATTGGTACTGCCTCCGCAAAGAAACAGCTTTATAACAAGGAAGCAGAGAAGAAAATGGATGGAGTAGCCATTTCATATGTGGAGTCCCATGCTCTTTAGATCTAGAAAATAACTCCATATATTGCACTATCAGGGAGATATGAACTAGTGCTTTTCTGTAGTGTACTTCTAATTATTTAATACTTCCTTGGTACACTAGGACAAAAATAGCATATTTTACATATCTATGACAAATACAGTATTTGTGTACACAAAACTGAGCTTTTATTTGGGGTACGTGAAAAATGGATATTTACTATTGAGAAGTATGTACGACAGCAATAGAGAGGGAGTTGGTAGTGTTTGAGAGAATAATCAAAAGCAGATTTGCTCTGCTTTATTAGAAATAATTAGGGGCTGGGTTGGTGGCTCACACCTGTAGTCCCAGCACTTTGGGAGGATGAGGCTGGAGGATCGCTAGCCCAGGGGTTTGAGACCAGCCTGTGCAACACGGTGAGACTCTGTCTCTACAAAAATACTTTTAAAAATTAGCCAGGCATAGTGGTGTGCACCTTTGGGTCCAGACACTTCGGAGCCTGAGGTGGGAGGATCTCTTGAACCCAGAGGTCGAGGCTGCCATGAGCCATGAGTGTGCCACTGCACTCCAGCTTGGGTAACAGAGTGAGACACTGTCTTGAAAAAAAAAATTAGGAACCACATTTGTAAGGAAACTGATTTTAAAAAGTGCCTCTAGAAAATTTTCATAAAGAAAAAGCTTGAAAAAAATGATCTTTTAAAAACCCCTCCCCACAACAAATCTCAGAGAAGTAGATCCTCAAATGTTCATTAATGGATGACTATCGGCAGGAAACTAAAGGTTTGGACACATTATGATGAGAACAGCATTCCAATAGGATTCCTGTTTGAAGCTTGCTGGTGAATGAAGAGAGAAATGGGGAAAACCACAGGAGATGAATCCATTATGGTCTGTGGAAGGGCCACAGGGCTCCTGCCTTATCTTATGACCACCTGAAGCAGTTTCCAGGAGGACCATTCAGAGAGGGTCCCATGGCATAGGAGAATCAACTGTTATTTCTGGCTTGGTGTTTAGTGGGTGCCTCTCATCCCTAAGCATCAGGTATTTCTCAAAACCACAAAGAACAATAATGTCCAGTTCTTATTAATACAGGTGGCAGCTGGTTGCAGAAGAAAGTGATTACATGTTCATCTCTGGGGAAGGAAGTACCCACACACATGTGGCTGTGGTTTTCATCATACTGCCTCCCTTCTCTAGACTCTGCAGGGGCTTCTAGATGTCTCTTGCATCCAGTGAAGACAACTCAACTCTCTGTTTTTAGGCCTATTAGCTAAGCCCTCCATCACACTCCTCCTAAATGCCTTCATCTTTAGCTACAAGGCAGCCCACACTGGTAAGCTTGCTAATGAGTGAAAAAGCGGCAGCCTGGCTTCCCGCAGGGGAGTGTATACATTTTAATAGCAGGCTTCCAGAGACAGGGCACCTGCTGCCTGTCTCCACTTTCCAACAGCGACCTGGTGATGAAAACTTCAGCCAGGCCCATCGGGAAGGAGAGGCGGCGAACTGCCCTATGCATATGCCTGGGGTTGTTCTGCCTTAATTTAAGACTGATAGAACAATCTTCCAGAAACAGGGTAGAGCCTTCCCAGATCAACAAAGCTCTGTAAGAGCTGAAGGTACACCTGATTCCCTGGAGTACCACTGAACAACCTGGAGACAGTGCAGTTTGTTTCTCCTGGGCAGGCACACATGGCATCTGCCAGAAGGAAAACATCTGTCACTTACACCAGTTTATGGAAAACAAGATACAGAATGGCACTGTACTTGAGATCTGGAACCACCAGGAATCCTATTCTGTCTCCCCAAGTATGCAGCTCTTGATTTGGGGTATATATTCCAGTGATAAAGAAAAGAGATACAAATTCTCCTAAAACAAGATGGAACATTCTAAATGGACACAGAAGTTACAAGCTGGGGAAACATGGTGGGAAGGTGGAAGAGGGGCTCATTCTGGCTAAAGAGGAGTAGAGGGGCAAGTTAGAGATAGTATCTCAGAATTAATGCTATTTAAGGCAGGAAACAGGGGCTTACACCTGAAATCCTGTGCTCTGGGAGGCCAAGGTGGAATGATGGCTTAAAGACCAGGAGTTTGAGACCAGACTGGGCAACATAGTGAGACTATTTCTACAAAACAATTTTAAAAATTAGCTGGGCATGGCGGTGCACACCTGTAGTACCAGCTACTTGGGAGACTGAGGCAGGAGGATAGCTTAAGCTCGGGAGTTTGAGGGTACAGTGAGTTATGATTATACTACTGCACTCCAGCCTGGGCAGCAGACAACAATCCTGTCTCTTAAAAACAGAATTGATGCCGGGCGCGGTGGCTCAAGCCTGTAATCCCAGCACTTTGGGAGGCTGAGGCGGGTGGATCACGAGGTCAAGAGATCGAGACCACCCTGGTCAACATGGTGAAACCCCGTCTCTACTAAAACTACAAAAAATTAGCTGGGCATGGTGGCGCGTGCCTGTAATCCCAGCTACTCAGGAGGCTGAGGCAGGAGAATTGCCTGAACCCAGGAGGCGGAGGTTGCGGTGAGCCGAGATCGCGCCATTGCACTCCAGCCTGGGTAACAAGAGCGAAACTCCGTCCCCAAATACATCACAAAAAAAAAAAAAACAGAATTGATGCTATTCAAGTTTTCTTATAGGATAAGAGGCATTTTGGTGCTGAGAAAAGAGGGTAATTGGGATATTGGGGGGACAATAGCCCAAGGGTCAGGTACTTTATGGGCAATGAGAGAATGCTATGAGTAATGGGGCTGGACAGGTAGGCATGCCTGGGCTGCTAGCCTGCTTGAGAAAGCCAACTCAAGTAGTATTATGACAGATGGGTGGGTCACAGGCAGAGAGGTCATGGAACATCTTTGTAAAACACCCAAGGGACTGGTAGTTACACAGCTGAATACATATGTAAAAGTCCCTGAGCTATATACTTAAGATTTGTACATTTTACTGTATATAAATGATAGCTTTAAAAAGTACTTTAAAAAAAAAACAGTGCCAGCCTGTCCAGGAGTCCAGGGGCTGGGAATAGCTAGCAGAGGACAAACACACAAGAAAACCAGTCTCTTTACCCTACAGTCGGGGATCCTCTCCCAGGGTCCTTCCCCTAAAAAGAGCACTCTGATGCTTGCTTACAAAGCAAGGGTACCAGAATCAGAAGCTGTCAGTGCTGAAGGGCACGGTGGGAGACATGCCTATTTCATTTTACATAGAAGGAAACCAAGGACTAGAGGGGCTATCATTTTGTCCAGGGTTCGATGGCCAGTTTAGAGACCGAATACCTAGATTTGCATCCTAGTCCAAATTTCAATTCAAAGCTCTTTCTCTACCCAACTGCTGCCAGCAGCCATCAGGAAATTTGAATGAATGACAGGATTCTGAAGCTATACAAAATCAAACGTAAGCAGATAGGTAGCAGCATGGGTGAATGTTCATGGCAGTGTTCATCATGGTTTGGTGAAAGCAGGTTACCAAACAATATCTATCACCATGATTTTGTGGGGGCAAGTATAAACAAAAGGAAAACCACAGGGATGATCGCCCACATATTAACAGTGCATTATCCCTGGGTAGAATTATAATTTTCTTCATGTGGGAGGTTTTCTGGTAAAAACTGAAAAAAACTTGTTAGACAAATTCTAAAAGAGCTATAGGGCCAGGCACAGTGTCTCATGCCTGTTATCCCAGCACTTTGGGAGGTTGATGGGTAGATGACGAGGTTAGGAGTTTGAGACCAGCCTGACTAACATGGTGAAACCCCGTCTCTACTAAAAATACAAAAATTAGCCTGGTGTGGTGGTGGGCACCTGTAGTTCCAGCTACTCAGGAGGCTGAGGCAGGAGAATCGCTTGAACCCAGGAGGTGGAGGTTGCAGTGAGCTGAGATGGTGCCACTGCACTCCAGCCTGGGTGACAGAGAGAGACTCCGTCTCAAAATAAAAGAGATAGAGAGAGAGAGAGAGAGATAGCACTTACAGATAATGTTTGTGTTCTCTACCTTTTCCATTTAAAAAAAATGAATATACATTAAAGTTTTTATTCAGAAAAAGATTTGTATCACTATCTAGATTTTTGTTATAATTCTGAACTGAGCTTTAGTCAGCTTGTTTCACTAAGAGCAAACACTTCGTGAGAACCAAAAATGAATCACTAGGTAAATATTGATCTGTTTCTAAGTGAACAAGAGACATAGCATTCCATTAAAGCAAAGTTTTCCTCCAGACATTAAAAGATTAATTTATAATGTACTTTTGGGTAAATAATCTTAAAGCAGATTTTTGAATTGACCTTAATGCTAAGAGGGGAAAACAATAATCCCTGCTCCCATAGCATGCTTCCGATGTTCACCTTTCATCAGCACTTTTTCTATACCAGAACCAAGAGGAAGGACATGTCCTGATTCTGCACGTCATAATAACCAGCAACCTGCAGTCAGAATTACTGAATAATACTAACAGCTTGTTGTAAATCAGTTAACAGAACTTTCTAGCCCAGGCGAGTACTTGGGAAGGCTGTAGACAGGCATCCTTATAGGAAAAAAATCTTCACAGTCCCAGGAGAAGCACCTTCCCTGCCAACAGATGTGTTTCCTGCCCTCAGCTTCCAACACATGAAAGGTTGTTACAGACATGTAACACAGAAAAAGACCAGGGGGGACAGTAGCTTCTGATGGAGTGACAGAAATAGGGAGTCTGATGGGAATTAAAGGCCACCAGAGACTCTAGTCAGGGGTTGGCCTCTGCCTCGATTCTCTCACCTGTAACCAAGAAAAGTCCCCGTTCACTTCCCCACAGATAGGACGGCAACCACCCTGGTGTCACACTCCAGTTTGGGTTCAGTTTCCCTCTCTGCTATTCCCAGTGTCCTCGTCCTTAAAATGAAAGGAAAAATGCATCCCACCTCAAGGTTGTTAAGACTAAATGGTATAATGTCTATGAAAGGTACTCAACAAATTTCAAGTAGTAGTAATGTAGACAAAAGGGAGTAGTAACATGAAAACATTGTGGTGATATGAGACATGAACATAGGATACAGGGATTCCTAAAATTAGAATCTAAATCAGAAATAAGAGGTGAGTGGAAGGATGGAGGGGCAATAAAGTGAATCCTTTTGCCCTTTAATTGTCAAGTTCAAGTCAGACTATTCAGGTGTTCAGAATTTAGCTGCTTAAGCAATGCTCCAACATGCTCTAAGAGGGCTGGCCCTATAATCAAAGGGAGAGGTTTTGGAAGTAAATTGGTTCTGGAGAATTTGTTCCTTCACATACACCTTCAAACCATAGTTAATTCCTAAACAATCACTAGGTCTGCCTTTAACCTAGGCTGACCTCCACCCCTCCCTAGTTAAGGTACCAGGAGAGAGGGTGGCAATCAGCCAATG